TCCCCTTCTTTTAATTGCATTCAAACATAAACTAACAGAACTGTCTTTAAAAAACAATAGTGCTAATGTAACCCATATATAGTTAATTATTAGAGTCATAGTTGTATGTGTTAAAACCTATACTTAGTAGTGATGGAGTTTTTAACAATCAGTTTTGTTTTAATTCCTTTAGTCTGTATTTAATTGGTGACACCAAAGAGTTGAACCATCAGGAGCAGGCAGAATTAAGAAAAAGAGCTCTGATGTTGGCCATGTATTTGTTACGATCACCTTTTTACGATCGATATTCCAAGTAAGTTTTACAGGCACATTTTTTTATTTCAGTTGTCACTATGTTTCATGTTTCTAGAAGCTTAGCAAAACAACTTTCTTTTTAGATGCAAATATGTGACATAATATACTTGCCACATGTCCATCTTATGTAAATATAGTAATCATTTCATTCATTTAGTAAATTTATCATTAAATACATCAAAAGTAATTAACAAAAATTATGTAAGCCCATGTGGCGGATGCCACATCTGCTTATTCATAGGCTTCAGTATCCGATGAGGGCTAATCCCATCACCATTTTATGTATTAATCGATGCTGTTGCTCCTTAGTTGGTTACATCTACAAATGTACTAGAGTCACAGTCAATCTAAGAGTTGTTTGTTTGTTGTTGTTTTTTTAGTTGTTGCTGTTTATATAATAAGCTCATATAAAATAAAAAGAAACTTGTTTACTTGATGTCGTCTTTTTTCCCCCCCTTAAGTTTGAATATTAAAACCTAGTTATAAATAACATTTTTTTCCTGTTTTTGTTCTTTCCCAGGCAAAAAGTGTTGGCTTTGCTGAGAGGATTGTCAAACACAATACCTGGAGTTTCATTAGTCTTAGGTAAGTAATTATTGAACAGCTTGATAATTATATTAATGTTGCTATTTTCTCATCATATACTTTTCCAAAACTTAAACCTTAAATTTTCCTTGTTCCATATGCCAGGAAAAATGTCTATAAATGCTCCTTCTTCCCTAGTGCTATTAGAGAATGGAATGGGTTCTCTGAGATTTAGAAATATCTTTTTATATTTACCATGTCTTGAGTATAGTTTTGAGCATTTAAAGTTTATATAGATTAGAATGTGATTATTTTTTTGTTTACTTTAATATCCTGGCAACGCCTCCCCAATAAAAATGTATAACTTAACATTATGGTGTTCTTGGACATTTGTTTCTTTCAGGTCCACTCATGGATTACTTACCAGTTTGGCAAAAGATTTATTTCTACACCTGGTCGACATAATGTCAGCGACAAATTTTTTATTGGCATTTTAATTTGATGAAAGATTTTATTTTTCTGGACTTTTTTTTTTGATCATGAAACTTTAATGTTTTATATGTGGAATGTTTACAAGAATGATTTATACAGTCTAGACTAGCCCAGTGTTTATCATATGTATAGTCAGAGACCTTTGCATTTCTGAGCCAAGTATCTATAATGAGTTCAATGTTTACCCTGTGGCTATCTTGTGTCCAAGACTTAACCCATGCGTTTTAAAATATCCCCACTAGACATGATGCATCTAAGACGTTCTCAAGGGCCAAACATGTCCAAAAGTTGTTTAGTCTCATGTTTCAAGATTCGCCTGAAGACCAAAGATGGTACTAATCATAGATTTAGACTACGAGAGAGAAACTTTTTTGTGATATAACAAAGTAAATAAGTAGAAAGCACCATAAGAAATATTTTTTTTGTTGACATCCTCAAATCAATAATTTAAACCTTTTTTTTTTTTTTAACTGTCTAAAGATTAGAGTTTTAAATTCTGGTCATTGTTTAAGGAAAAAAAAAAAAGCTCTTTTTTGGTTGTGTGTGTTCTTTGTGATAACAAACATTCATTAACTTTATTACTCTTCTATTCATTGTATTTTTCTTTCATCAGTTTTAATTTTGAGCTAGGCATAAATACATTTATTTCCAATGTTTAATTTTTAAAGTTGGTAAATGCAGTCAGTCATATGAGATGGCTGACTGGGCATGTGATATGCACACTGTATAATCCACAAGTTTGAACATTGCCAGCCACCATACCATGCTAGCTGGAGGTTTGCACTAGGATGTAATAATCTTCCACCCTGAAGGAACATCCAAAGCATGTCATAAAAACAAAACAATTCTGGTGATGGCAAGGATTCTTTATTTGGAATTTCGTGTCCCTGTGTTCACCAAGTATCAAAGACAACTGAAATTAGTTTAGGAAAGCAAAATGGTGCTGGTCATGTGATGTCATGTTACCCATTTCGTCAAAAAAACAAAAAAACTCACCGCTAGTTTTCTGAGAGAGCTTAAAGTTTTAAAGAGTTAAACTGTGCTGAGGACTCAAACAAAAGCATTATTACATAGATTTATAAACAATAATCTATTTCATTGATGTAAAATAATGCATGAAGAAATAACTGTAACTACACAATGGTCACAGGTAAAAGCTATGTCCTGCATTAGAAAAATTTGATCTTATTTAATTTTTATTTATTTTTTTTCATTTTTTTTTTTTTTTTTAACTAATTTGATTTAAGGTGTTTTTTTCATCCTCGATTAGGTTTAAAGTTTGAGCTGTTGAATATTAGATTGTGTTTTGAATAGACTAAAATTGCAGTCAGCTGAAGAACGTTACTAAGATATTTTTCTATCTAATCTAATTTAGGAGATGTGTAGGTTCTCTTGCATTTCAGTGATATGGGATCACGAAATTCACGAAATTGTTAAAATACTTTTTAATGTTGTTTTTGAATTATGTCGAATTTTTTTTTTCTTCAGAATTTTATTTGATTATTAAGAATTACCTAATAATTTGTTCTTATACGGGATTATAATCAACCTGATAGTTTCTTTTTTATTTACACAAATTAGTATTAGACTTAAGTTCATATCAATCACATATAGACATTGACTTAGCTTGAAAGAAACACCATTAACTTTTTATTTCTGACTTGGACTCCTATGTCATTCATCACAGATAAGGTTGTCTGCCTTGTGCTGTGTGAGTGCGGGACTGTCGTCATGACTTGTCAATGGTCCCAGGTTCATACCCAGCCTGCTCCCATCCCCTTTCGTCCTGTGGGAGGTTTGGACTAGGAAGTAAATTATCATCAACTTTGAAGGAACATCTGAAACATGTCAAACACATTTTAAGCTTCTAGTTTCACTACAACTGTACCATTCAAGATGTCATCCTCTTTGGCATGTAGATCAAATGAACTTGAATTACTTGGCTTAACCCTTTTGACTCCCAGTTGAGGTTAGGGTCGCAACAGTACCCAGCTTTGGACTTGTGGGCAATTCCCCTCAGTTAGCTTCATGTCGATCCTGCCATCTTTCATCAGTAGATTTGTCAGCACACCAGCTTCCTTTGGGCTTTGAATAGTGTGTGTGTCATGAACTCTTCTTGAGAGGAATCACCAAGGTCAAGGTCTTTTTGGATTTCTGCTGTTGTGGTTTCTTAAGTGCTGTACGATTTCAAATGGTGAGGCTGCTTACCACATGCCCAACTCTCCCTCTTTACAAGATGCTCCCCCTAAGGTTGCCTCCTGGCGGAGTTAGATCATTTGAAGCATGCGCAATAAAGTATTTTTTTTGTCCAGCATGTCCAACAATGAGAACTCTATTTTTGGATGTAAAAACCTACAACTTCTAACAATTTATAATTTCATTTGTTTCAATCAGTGACATACCCCGATGTATTTGATGGTTTAATTATTTTTTAGATGATCCAATAGTAAAGAAAAATGTTTAAAGACTTGTGAATTAATAATTATAGTTAATATAATGACATGTTTTATTATTAAGAATTATTGTAGCAAATGTTTTGTTTAGACATTTTGTACATTTGTTGTTGACATATTGATTTTGTTTACATTTATTAGTGTTTTTATAGCTTTAAGATTTTAAATGGTACTTTGCTGACATGAGTGTTTCGCCTGTCCCTGGTTATACTTTTTTACTTCACATTTTTATTTAAGAAGGTGTAGCAGACAATCTCTTGCTGGATGTCTGGTCTAGTGTAAGAGAATTTTAAGTGCTGGTTTCATTCCATCACTTTATTTCTTGACCTTTTACTTGCATTGTATCCCGAAGTATATGTCTTTTAAATAGCAGATCAGTTTGTCAAGTGAACCTAAATGTTTGTATGTCTTATCTGACCATCACAAATATTTGGCTAATATTTTGTTGTATCAAATCTTACTAGATTGTTCTATCATATATTGTTGAGATGTAATTAGGTCACACTCTGACAACTTTTTTGTTCCAGACAATTTTTCTAAAATATAGCTCTGCTGCTGTAAGCCTTGGAAGTTGTTTACATTTAGTTAATTTGTGTCACATGTTTATTTGATTTGAGGATCTTGACGATATAAACTTGTGACCTATGCAGGTTCGAAGGTGCCGTAACTATGGTTCAAGCACTTTAAAAATCAATGAAGTAACAAATTGTTGATATGCTTTTCTAGAGTTTTAATTATTTAAACTTGAACTTGAAACAATAAATGTGTGTACAAAGATATATAAAGCAGATACAGAGTTCAGTAAAAAATGATCAATAAAATGAGTAACTATTTACTTTTAAACTAGCGACTTCTAAGTCTAACTTTCTAGCTCTCACTCTGTCGTCTCAAGCTCCTACTCCTCCTTTTATATCTTTCCTTAGAATAAAGAGCCATGACACCTCAATACCCATCCTTGACCCGTTTACATATATTTGCCTTTTAATTGTTTTTAATTTAACCTTTGTTAATTATGTTTCCCTGCTGTAGCCTTGAACTAAGTTTTAATCATGTCTTTCTGGCATCTAAGCATGGTAACACATGACCTGATTTGAGATAGGTAACCTGTCCTCATTTTGTGAACAATAAGGTGTCACTTGTCACGTGACAATTTGTCAACTTGTTCACTAATTATATTTTTCAATCCAATGTTATAAAATCTATTTTTTTATACCAATATTTAGTATTTTAGAACACAAAGGCTGATATGGAAATAATACTATAGAACACAAAGGCTGATGTGGAAATAATTTTATAGAACACAAAGGCTGATATGGAAATAATTTTATAGAACTCAAAGGCTGATATGGAAATAATACTCTAGAACACAAAGACTGATATGTCTTCCTTAAAGATATAAACCTTACTTCAATATTGTTTTGAAATACCCATATTTTAACTCTGTAAATAGTGCTATAAACTACCATGTACATTTTCAGCACAACTTTCATTTGTTGATATTCAAATTTTATGGATACAATCTATTGTTGTTATTCAGATTAAACATTTTGACCTACAGCGGCTTTGTTGGTTTTTTAATTTCAAATGTAATCAATGGCTTGTCATAACTTTGTGCACTGGTTAGTGCCAACTGAATTCTGGGACATGATCTATCAAGACAGAGACTTGCCGTAACTGTGTACATTAGTTAGTGCCAACTGAATTCTTGGATATGATCTATTGTGACAGAGACTTGTCATAACTGTGTGCACTGGTTAGTGCCAACTGAATTCTGGGACATGATCTATTGTGACAGTGACTTGCGTTGGTGTCATCTACTTGACACTTTCATATAAGAAGAATTTAAAGCGCTACTGAAAATCCCAATTTCAACATCATCTAAAAATAGATGCAATGGCTAATTATGATTTTCTTAAAGTGTTAAAAACTTAGATATTCTTTTGGGGGAAAATAAGGGGGTTAGCATTTTGAAAAACAAAATTTTCAATTAAAAAAAAACAATATATACAAGTTTAGTTTAAATAAAGACAATCATAAAAGATGTTCATGTTCGAGCCAAGATTGAGTGATTGCCTTCATCAATCTTTGAGTGTTTGTAAGCCTTTTTAAGTTCCACAATTTTCAATAGAATATTTTCTATGGTCCTGGATGTGATACATTGGATTCATGGATTTCTGTTTCCTGCTTTTGAAAAGAAAACAGGTACACCAAAGAATAAGCTGTTTCACTAACTTCCATTGTGTCTAAATGTTTAATAAAACTGGTTAAAATGTTTCTTCTGAATGATCTTTGTAGCAAATTGGACCCTTTACAATTAGCTTACCAAAAGGGTAAAGGAGTAGATGATGCAATTCTAAATATTTTAAATTGTGTCTACAGACATCTAGACTTACCTAACACTTGTGTAAGATTGTTCTTTATTGATTTATCATCAGCTTTTAATACTTTACAACTTCATTTACTCATTGAAAAAATAAAAGCGTTGAAGATTTGTCCATATATAATGCTATGGGCTAATGAATTTTTGACCCAGAGACCTCAGAGGGTTAGGATAAACAATGTAATATCAAATGCACGCATAGTTAACACAGAAGCGCCCCAGGGGGCTGTGACATCGCCAATGTGGTTCATTTTGTTCACCAATGACCTACTCTCGGAGAGCTCAGACATAAATGAATATTTCAGAGAAATAGAACACATTGAAAAATACTGTAAAGATAATTTTTTATTATTAAATGTCAGAAAAACCCAAAGAAATGATAATCCATTTTCGTAGGGAAAAGGAAAATGATATTGTTTCTGTAACTGTAGAGACTATTGAAAAAGTGCAAAATTGTAAATACCTTGGTACTATCTTAGACAATAAACTCAATTTTACTGCAAATACTGATTATATCAGCAAAATAGGGCAGCAAAGATTACGATTACTGAGAAAACTGTCCTCGTTTAATGTTAAAAGTACTTGGCTATGTTTTATCATGCTCACATTACATGTGAATACATTTTATTTTTTAAAGTTATGTTTTGTTCTGTGTAATGCACAAATTGTAAGACAAATTTCCTTATGGACAATAAAGATTATTATTTCTCAAAGACTATCAAAAATTTGTTTAAGCAGAGTGGACACAAGAAGGTATTTAAATTTTCCCAATAAACCCTGAACTTTGAGTTGGCATTTAGTGTTATTACCCACCTTCATAGACCTTTACATGGAAGAACAAAAACTATGCATACTTTTCTAAGTTACAGTAATTCATTCAAATAATTGAATGTAACCATTCTCCTTTGTTAAACAGCGTTGTTTAATAGTTTACAGTAAACTGACATATAAGTTGTTTCACAATTTAATAGTTTACAATAAACTGACACCCAAGTTGCTTCAAAATTTAATAGTTTACAGTAAACTGACATTCAAATTGCTTCACAATTTAATAGTTTACAGTAAACTGACATCCAAGTTGCTTCACAATTTAATTGTTAACAGTAAACTAACATCCAAGTTGCTTCACAGTTTAATAGTTTACAGTAAAGTGACATCCAATTATTTTTGCACTTGTGAGACTAAGGACTCAATATATCTGTATGTCTAGCTGTCATGGTGCCACAGCTAGTTTGTACATTATCACTGTCAACTTTAGCATTTCGGCTTGCCAGGACATTATTACTCAACCAGTTTGACAACTTTGCTCTTTTTTTCTTCTATGTTTATACTCAAGCAAATGTTTTAACCCTAACCCTCCACTGAAAATTAACAAAGGTTTTTTAAGATTTTACAAAGTGGCAATATTTAGAAGTACAATTACTAAAGTTTGACTTCTATGTTTACTTTGTAAATATTATTGAATTATTTTAATTTATATTACCAAAACAAAATAAAAAGTTTACATAGAAAAAAAAAATTAAACACTGTCTTCTGATAATGTTTAATCTACATTTCACCCACCATGGTGTAACATTATAAATGTCATCTAATGTGTAGACTCATTGACTTATTTATCCAGAGCTAAGGATAAATTATTTACGTTTCTTTCCCCCAACTAAAATCAGGTTCCCATTAGGGGCGCCCTAAAAAATCCCAAAATTAAAAATACTAGTCTTCACCAAGATTTGAACCCAGGACTCCAGGTTCAGAAACCAGATGCTTAACCACTTGTGCCCCTCTCCCATGCATTGAGATTGTGTTAAAAATAAAACTTACTTTTTTTTTTTTTAAATTTAGTTGACAACAAAGACGATCCATTTAGCACTCTTGGCATTATTTAGTAAAACTTTAGTTTACTATGAAAATATCCAACTCACAAAAACAAATAGACACAAAAACTCTTTTGTTCCTTCGGCAATTAAATCGTTGAACACTATGTAAATTATTGTCGTAAATTTTGCACATAAGGTTAAAGAGTATGAACGTATTTCTTGTGTGCTATTGTAAAAATGTTGCTCTAGTTTTGTATTGTTTTTTCTAATTCACAGTTGCAAAAGAAATATCCTCACAGATTATAAAGATTATGATTATTTCCTACTTTGGTAAAGTTATCTCCTTTCCATTTTCCAGGACAGTCTTTATGCAAGTGGACCATTCTGACCTATATTTATTACTGATTTTAATTTGTTTTGTAGCTGATGAAGGCCTCGTGGCAGCAGTAAATCTTTATTTTTTAGTAATTGATAGGCTCACCAAACAGTGTGGCCTAGAGCACAAAAAAAACGAGATCCCACTGCAAGATCCATCTACTTATACAGCCTCATTTGTGCACTCTTGAAGTCATTTCTTTCCAGTTGAATTTCCGCTTTTATTTTGATCTTGTTGCTCACTTTCACAAATTTCTGAAATTACGTTCTTTGTTCCCATATTGACCCAGTAAAACTAGTCACATTTGCATTTTGTTTTGACTTTGTACTAGTCTCCCCTGCAAACTGTGGGTCATAGAAACATAATACTTCACACCCACGCCTTAATAGTCAACCACTGGATTCCATTACAAAAAGTTTTAAGATCTTTATACATTTATTTGAGGGTCATCAGACTTACCTTCCTTTTCTTTCTTCATTGCATTTTAAAAATAAAGTGATTTTATTATTTTTTAACTTCAAATATATTTGAAAAGGATAAATCTATCCTCACAAAATGTGTTATTTATTAGTGAAAAAAAAACTTGACCAAAAAAAAATAAGAAAAAAACTATTCATTTGCTTAATTTTTAATAATTTTTTAAAAATATAAATCCAAAATGCATGATTGAAATTCTCATTTTTAAAAATAAAAGCATTTTATACATACTGTGTTACATACAAGCTCTCTCATTATAGTTATAAAAACAATGAGATTAGTACATAACTTCTGGTGTATTTATTTCATTTTATTCCATGGTTGATTTGCAACATATGAGAATGAGACAATTATGATATTTTACATATGAGTTGGGAACAATCGAGCTTAAAAAAAAAAAAGACATCAACATAAATTTCCCATAATGCACTCAAACCAAGTTTCCTTAATTTACAACATATTCTCATGAGACATTGTCAAAATGGGTTCATTTCAAAGCTGCACAAATATACACAGTAATCAGATAGATACCCATTATATTCAGTTACTAATACAAAGAGTATAAATACTTAAAAAGTTAACATTCCTAAGTAACAGAATGCAGCCTATGAGACATCTTTAGAGATTGAAATCCCTTTAAAACACTAAAAGAGTAGAATTGGCCTGAACCAAACTGGGTAGAGTCAAGTCCATAATGTTATTGAGAAGAAATCATAGTGCACTCTTTTATAAGTCTATTGAGGTTTACCTTCATAGCACTGTATACCTATTGGAGAAACTTAATTTTTGGCAGTAAATACTTAGCAGTGAGCAAAACGTTTTTACATATAAGATGTGCACTGTACTTCAACTATGAGATTTTCTTGCTCTATATATTATTGAAGGTGTTTGTTATAAACTACATTTCTGATTAACTTAAACTCTACACTAGAAAAAATGAATGAAATATTTGTTTTTTAAAAGGAAGAATAAAAGTTGGCAGCAAAAAGAAAAAGTGATAGAATGGGCTAGGTGGCAGTGGTGCACAAAAACCCTTCTCATGACCTATTTCTTATCAGGAAATAAGTTTGATAGATGCATAACTCTACTTGAAAAATTAATTAAAAGTAATCACTTATAGATCTGCACAGCTTTGAATCATAGTTATTCATTAAAATTAAATGCACACTAACCTTATTAGAATAATATATGCCTAAGCTATATTAGCAACATCATGAAATGCCTTGGTAAATCACAGAAAATTTGAATCAAAATACAAATAAGCCCAAATTAAAGCTTTAGCTATCATATAAATGAATATGATATTCATAATAGAAGAATCTGTACAAAGAAAGTGAATGTATAACAAAGAAAACAAAAATACAATAATAACAACAACAGCAGCAACAAATGTTCCAATTTTAAATACAGTCTGTTATCAAGCTACATTAAGAAATGTATTCAAGTGTATTCTACCTATTTTATAAGCATAAATTAGAGTTTAAATGAGTAGAATCGTTAATACAATTTG